AAAATGTGATTCCTTGACATATCATGGTGGCATCAGCCGCCGCTTGCCGCAAATCTTCTCGCAGCGCTACCGCTATCAACACACGTCCACCATTTGTGAGATACTGACCGGCCTTGTTGATCGCTACGCCGCTATGAAAGATCAATTCGTCAGCCGTATTTGGTGGCATGCCTATTTTGGTGACAAACCCATAAGAAAAGATAGAGAAATTCGTATAATTTAATACTTTGAAGCAACTACTACGATTATGTACCCTCGATAATGCAACCCTTTGTCGAGGTCTCTGGATAGCCAGCACTGGCCATGACTACACCAACGGCACTTACATCCTCACGCCACTGTAGTTGCACTTCCTTCAGACGATTCTCACAGCAAGCGCTCATTACGGCATACAAATCAGACTCGAGTAATGGCAATATGACTTGGGTTTCCGGATCACCAAAACGACAATTGAACTCCAACACCCTTGGGCCATCAGCGGTCAACATTAGACCCGCATAGAGTACACCACAATAGTGTATACCCTCCTGGCGTAAAGCGTCTACAGCTTTCTGCAGTATAGCTCTATTAATGCGTTCCAGATCGGCGGGCGGTATTAATGGACAGGGGCAATAGGCGCCCATGCCACCGGTATTCGGTCCCTCGTCACCTTCGCGCAGACGCTTGTGATCCTGTGCGGGCAACATAGCCTGAGCATATTGTGTATCAACAAATGCGAGCACGGATACTTCCTCGCCAACGAGTAATTCTTCTATGACTACGGTTTCACCAGCATTACCGTATTTGCGTTGACCCAGTATCTCATCGACTGCCTGACAGGCCTCGACGGTATCTGCTGCAACCACGACACCTTTGCCGGCGGCCAAACCAGCAGCTTTCACCACGAGCGCTTTGTAGGGGGCGCTACATTTTAAGGACAAAAATAGGCGTTATTTAAAAGGTGCAAAGTGTGGGAAACCAATTAATCCCGTTATCAGAAATCTTTAATAATAGAGACATTTTATAAATGTCGATTTGAGAAGAAATTAAAATATTGGTTGGATCTAATATTGAAGCTCAGAGACGGTATATCAGAGACGGTATATCAGTCTGAAAGTGTTATGTACCAGCTCAGTTGAGTTTCTTGGATTGCGATATACCTATTTTATTCAATATGATATCACAGAATTTTTTTCTATCGCTATGAATAATAATGGAGCTGGGTAAAACTTTAATAGCCTTACACTACTAATCACAACTCTAATTCTAAATCGTTTCTTTACCCACCTATTTATAAACTCCTTAGCCTGATTCACATCGGTAAAAGACGCGTACCGCGCAGTCGGAATGCTATGCCGCAGCATAAAGTCCTTGGCCCACTTTTTGTCCGACTCAATTTGAGCGCCCTTCTTATTGGGACCAAAACAACGTACACCAGCCTGGTTGAGAGCATCACCCAGCCCATTGGCTAAGGGATCTTCCGGACCAACAATAACCAAATCAATTGATTGTTTCTTACACCAGCTGGCGATGCCCTGAAAAAGAAAAGGAAAGTTTAACGAAAATTATAATATACATATGTACGTACAAGTAAGTATATAGATTGTGATGAGTGCAGATCTAAAATAACGGTAATCAGATTACGTGTGTGACTGTGTGAACTGTATCACTTTGAATACAATTGCTCATCAAGGTCAAGTCCGTGGCGTTCCCATCACATAAATTTCTTAGTGGGAAAAATAATTTTATGGCAAAGGTCAATCAACTACTTCCTACAAATTAGCTTTGTATAATATATAACAACGGTGAGCTTAATGAATAATATTAGTAAGTAATACAATAAATAGCTAATTTTAGTTTATAGTTTTGAATAATGTTTGCGAGCATTTTTTCTGACACCTCATAAGTATAAAAAAATTATTAATTCTTGATCATAAAATGTCTATGGGTTTTTATTGTAATTTAAAATTGTTATAATTTTCTAATGTACTTCTATAGATACAAATATTATATGTATATAAATTATGCAACTAGTTTATCGAAATGAAAATAACGAAAAAGTAAAGAATATTTACGTGCTAAAATAGTTAACTACACAAATAAACAAATACGGATTCAAATGTTGTGCCATTTCGACTATTTTAATTTAAATTGGTTGACTGATTTATTTCACCAACGGCTTATTAACCCACGCTTAATAAAATACTACTTTAACTTTATTTAGAACTAGTTTAAATTAAACTCTGAATAATAAAAATATGTGAGAGATAGATTGGAAGATTAAAAAAAATTGGAAGAAACACAAAACACATAAATATTATATAATATTTTAAAGCTGCGATTAAAAATTTGCATTATGGAAAAATAAATGGTGATTTTTTTGAGACATGTGGTTTTCAAGAAGAATAGCCAAGAATTTAGCTGTATTATAAAGATAAATAAAAATATTAAAATTATTTCAGGCAAGCGACAATTTCCTTCAATAAATTTATTGTTTTGTTGGCTGTATGGCATGTAGCGCCGTCAGGTTGAAACCAAAGGTCGTCCACAACAACATTCTCCAATATAGGCACGAAAAAGTAATTTGGTAATAAATTTACACGATTTGCAAACGTTGTTCCGAAGTAAGTATTTTCATTATGAAATGGCAAGCCAAACTGAGTATATATATATTATATAAAGTAACAGCTGTCAAAAATACCCATTCCGGAAGAAGTAGTGCCTCATTGAAAACCACACCTCTAAACAAAACACTCTTATATTGATTTCTCTTCCGCACTTGTTCTTGTTAATCGTGATCATTTCAAAACTTCAAAACTTGATAGCGAAAAATAAAACTTAATATAAGTTAGCAAAGAAATAAAAGACGCAAGCTTTTCGTCAATTAAAAATATGCTTAAAATAATCACAAAAAAAAATAACAAAAAAATAAATAATTAAAAAAAGTTTTTTATATTTAGTAAAATATAATGTAGGTATATATATATATACAAGTATATATAAGTACACAATTTTCATTTAATGAAGCTTAGCGACTAAATCAATAGTTCTTAAAATCCATATTTTGTTACAAAAACCAAAACTAACCTAAATACTGCATCAGCTGTGATCTTGTTGTTTATATTCTAACACCATAGAGTGCCATCTGAGCAAATCTAATCCGGACTGACAAAGAATACAACATTTTCACGAATTTTACTACAAAACTTTATTATCAAAATAGGCGATGGCCTTCAGCGAATTTCGGTGTTTTTGATTTCGGATGACGCTGGTATAGCAACGCGATTATAAAGTCGCTCCTATTCAACCGTCAATCTGACCGACGCGTCGGTGCATCCTGTCAACAACATAGGAGGATCTGACGACAGATTTTGGCCGGTTTGAGGTATAAAAAGCTGCGACGCTGGAGTTTGGCCTCGTCATCATAGAGCTGACAACCCACTCGACGTTAATTAATTGTCATGAAAGCAACACAAAGGCTCAGAAGGAACTGTTGCACCAAAAGATGTTGATGGGCTAGATTGTTGGACAGTCTCGGCACCATATTCATAAACTTATGTAAACCCAGTAATGCTGCTTCTGATGAATGTAGAGCCTTCAGCTATTTTCAAGTATCTTTTTTGCGACCTCCACTCGACGTCATGTTTGCAAAAGATTCAGGTTTTTTGATACGAGACTAGCATTGAGACGCTTCATATCCAAAGCATTCTCAAAAATGTGTTGAGTCGATCTATAAGAGATGTTGAGATCCTCTGCTATCTCTCTTATGTCAACACGACGATTTTTAAGTACCGTTTATTTAACTTATTCGTTGCTAATGTCCTTAACAGAGGTCTATGGACGACTCCCATGAGGCAAGATTTCGATCACTTGACTTACACTAAATACTTTTTCGAACTCAAATACTTGTGTTCGTTATAAAGTCGACTCTCCAAAACACAATGCTGCAACATTTTCAACGATTCCGTAGGCGAGATTACATTGGAAACACAAAATTTCAAGCAAGCTCTATGTTAAATTTCAATTGTTCTAGTATGTTTTTTCGGATCAGTCCGAGTCAAATATGATCAGATGGTGCTTCCCAGATATGAATAGATACCGCTTCCGCAATCAATACTCGACTGACCTTAGAACCTTAATCTAATGTCCCTATGTTACAGAACTTATACAGTTCTTTTTTTCTTCATACTATTGCTTTCGGAAATGAGACTTTACCAAATCAGCAAGGCTTTTGTTCTCTCACTCTATGTTTTATACTTGTTTTTACCTATTCAATAATTTTAACTATAAGAAAATTAACTTATCCAATTAATTGTATGGGCTTGGTGTGCTTTACTTAATAGCACATAAATAAAATGTCCCTACACTTTTTTAATTATAACTTAGGTAAGTCAAATTCGGCGGTCTCAAAAATTTAAAAACGACTCATTCAAAAAAAAATGAAAGTGCGCTTTGCGTGTGAGGATTTGTTATGAAACTTTTTTCATAAAAGGGATCTATCGAAAATTAAAAAAAAAACGATTGGTTTAGTCGCGGTCATAATTAGCTTTCACCTAGCATAAGGATATATATAGCTTTCGAAACAGCGAAACTTTCGCTTGTCTTTTTATTGCTCTTCGAGGGATTATAGCTTCGATGAAAAAAAATGGAAAGCACCCTTGAAAATATTAAACTAAGAATTTATAAAAATTAAGACAAAACTAAAATTGGCACAATGTTTTCAAGAAACACCATAAAGTATAAACTAAAATAATTATAACATGATTATTTAATATTAGCGAAAAAAATAAAACAAAACCTTTGACGTTAACTGACATTGACTTAGTTTATAGAGCGCCAACATCGACAGCATTCACAGCAACAACAATAAGAAGAGCACACAAAACCATCAACGCCAAAACTGACAACAACATGACAACTTCCGAAATAGGCGAATCTCATTTACGCAGATGGTCAAGACGAGTGCAGAACGACATACCGATCAGGCATAAATCAACAGCATCGAAAATATATGAATATATGTGGCCGCAAAAGCTTGTGAATTTGTTTTAACACTGATGAAGTTGTTAGATGTTAACGAGATAGATGTGCAAAACATTTTACTGCTGCATTATATGCAAATTCCTGTTCGTACTTATTGCTTCGTGTAAAACCAAATTTAAAATAATTTTTTCACATAAGCGTTGTGATTGAGCAGAACTTAGATTTACTCTATATTTTTTAGTTAGTTTGAACTACAAAAAGGTGTTGCGCTGGCTCGGCTGAGACGTTGTACCCACGCGGTCGATTCTTGTTATTGGTACAACTCGTCAGCCAGCCAGCGAGTGAGAATAAAGTTTTAATTTATTGAAGCTATTAATGTGCGGAAAAAGACAACAATCAGCAGGCTGGTGCTTCGAAAATGGTAATGTGACGGACTGACCCGAGATGCTCAATATAAAAAGCTTTGGAGGCAGGTTAAGAGCAACAATTACACTTTTGATTTGGTAGATCACGCAGTAGACGCATTAACTGTGAACAGAAAATGAAACTATTTGTAAGGAAAACCCAATTTAATAAAAAAAAATTAATTTGATAATAATTTTTTTTAGAAAGTGTTAAAAATGTCGCTTAAACTTCACCTTTCTCTCGCTTTTGAATTATTCAATTCTATTTTGTAGTGTATTTTAATGATCGGCATTTTGGCTGCGGGCGCGCAGGCACGTAGTGATAAATATTTTGGTGCGAAATACCATGTGCCAACAAAAGCAACAACACGCCAGCAAACAGCAAAAACAACAACCAGCAAAACAAACTTCCCGCAGCGACAAACAATGGACGTTTACAAATATCCGAACAGCATTGCCGCCGGCCATCGCAGTAATGCTGGACCAAATGTGCCGATCTTGCGTAATGATCAAGAAATGAGAAAGGACGGCCGCTATCACTATCAATACGAAACGGGCAATGGCATTAGTGGCATGGAGCAGGGGACCGCTGGTGTTGCAATCAAAGGCGTCTCCAGCTATGTCTCACCCGAAGGTGTTGAAATCAAGCTATCCTACACGGCGGATGAAACCGGCTATCATCCGGTGGGCGATCACATTCCCAAGACACCCGAATATGTGTTGCGCGCTCTCGAATATATACGCACACACCCCTTCAAGGTGATAAAGGCCGGCGATGTGCACCCACGACTGTCCACTGAGATAGCGCCACCATTACTTACCCCCAACAACTCGCGAAATTTCAACTACAAGTCGAGCAGCTTCAATAGCAAAAGCGCTGCGACGAAGCGTCCGAGTCAACGGAATGCTAGTCGCAACGATGTAAGGCGTCGTTTTTGAAGAGTGTCTGTTTTACGTCTACTGTAAAACGAATCTCATTCTCTGATGTAGCGTAGATAAGAGGAAAATGTATTATAATTTATTTTTAATGAATTTAACGAATTCCATATCCATTACTTAGCTGACAGACCAATGCACTCATTTCTAGTTAATTACAATCGCACAACACTGTTATAGTATATTCGTATGTATAAAATATACAAACTGGTTAAAAAAAGTTGTTTCATTTATACGTCGGAATATTAGGATTGCAATGGGGTTTTAGCGATATGTAAGTTCTAATCCATCAAAAGGGGTACGTCACTGCCTGAGCTTACCCTTTTCACAATTAGTGGACTAAACACGGTGGACAAGCAAAATTGTATACCCGTTCTGAGAGCTTAAAGCTTAGTCTCCAATAATAATAAAGAAATATAATAAATATCTTCAAAATTGTTAGCTTGATTATGAAGAATTTTTTTTCTAACCCAACGCTGAAAACTATATATAATATAACAGGCTACTGAAAAAATAGTTTAGTAGAAAATTTCCTGTACAAGCAAATACATTGAACCTTTAAAGATGGGCTTAGAAGTTTTCAACATTAATTCAAAAGCTTTGAAATGACCTTTAAGAAAGACGGCAGTTTAACAGTAATCGTTCGTCTAACCGTTTGTCTACTACGTTAGTTCTGCAGAGATCTCAAGATCTATGAAGACCCATAATATTATTTGATTAGTCTCTGCACAAAATATTTCCTAGAAAGCTAGAAACCAGAAGTGGTATTGAGTAGTATTGATATTAATGGACGAGGTTTTCTATTCTAAAAAATATGAGTCGGAAAATTTCGAAGAAGAAAATAATCTTATGAGAAAATCATAAATTAAAAAATTAAAAATTAAATAACAAAAACGTAAATATCAAATTGAGTTCATTTCTTTTAAAGCTTTCCGAAGAAAAAATATAAAGAGAAGTTGAGCAGCAAGTCATAGGGTCAAATCCCAATGGCTAGTCTCCAAGACCGCTATATATAAAGTTATGCGACCTATATGAGACAATGGAGGGAGAGGGAAAGAGCGTAGACAAAACAATCTATCTTTTGCGTTTTTGAAGCAATAAAGCAAAAATATTTTTTATGATTGGCAACCCTTTAAAGAACGTTTTCCGTTTCATTTTGTCTATAATCATTTCACTTAACCGTTATCGCAAATATTTTAAATTTTTCAGCGATAACTAAACACATTCATCTTGTTTGCATATAGCAACTTGTAAGAGATTGTTCTCAAAAATGGCAGCATTATCGCTAAAAGCTTGTATTGAGATTTAGACTCTATAATTCAATACTTGAAAGTACTATCTGATGGCACATGACACTCGACAACTAAGTAAAACTATTTCCTACTTGTTTCTACGTGCATTTGAAATTTTAAAATATATTTTAAGTATATGCGTTGGAAAACCTATAAATAACTACTTGAAGACGTGCTTTTTGAAACTTTTTTTTATACATATGTATACATAGTACATAGTAGAGATGATCAGGGTTCCAAGTATTATTGAGAACAGCTATCAATACTGCTGACTAAGCTGAAATCTTTTATTTGATTACTAAATCAATACATACTTTTCGGGAAGTTTTTGAAAACAGTAATGTCTTACTCCCTTGAGCTTAACTTATTACTGTAAACTAAAATCAAAATGAGTCGGTTTATAAAACAAACAATCGCTTCAAAACTTAAAGATGTACATATATTTGTGGAGTTAGATATCCTTCTATATGCAGCAGATATTCCTAGGGCTGTGCAGTCGGATCCAACGTTTAGCACTTCGGTTAAAAGCTCGTGCCCAGTTGGAACTGAAATGGCAGATATCTCAGCACTAAAACAATGCGGTTCAACCCTCGAACCTATATACCAGAAGAGTTCAAAGCTAAGCGGAAATTCCTGATGTGGGTTTCATAGGAAGAATAGTCAACCGGCAGCATCAAATTTAGCCAGCAAAAATAAGTCAACTGCACAGCGGAGCTGAAACACGTAGGAACAGGTCCAAATATGATGAACTACGTACCCGAGGAACTCTCCACACACCGCTACAAACGCGAACTAATCCCTCAGTTTTTGAATTATCGATCTGATTTTGCCAACATCCTTTTTTCTTAAAGAGGCTGCTCATATGTCGGAAGCGCCAATATCGGTTCACTATAGGATATAGGGTCCATGCGAACTGAGCGATAAAAACCATGTTCTTGTAAGTAAAACCTTTTTATTTGAAGAGATTATTTCATAAAATTTGGCATAGAACATTTTCCAAAGCAACGGTACAATTTTTGAACCAATTGTTTTGATCGGATTACTACCGTTTCCATAACAGTCGGGTCTACGAACCGGAACGGACAAAATTCTGCCGCTATAACAACAACAACATCGGATTACTATAGCGTATAGTGGCCATACAAATTGGTCAATCAAAATCAAGTTCTTTTTTGAAAACTATTATTTGTGAAGGGTATTAAAGCTTAACGTTTTTAATTGTTTTTTACACACCAGCTTCGAGCGCACAAAAAAGCGCATTTTTAAATATTTTCTTTAACTCGCCGGCTCTGCAAGAAACACCTTTTATTTCGCCATTAGAATTCTCTGCAAAAGTTCAATGTCGTTATGCGCTCTAACTTAGTAATATGTGTACGTAAATATGAAACCGGCAAAACCCCAACTTACGCGACGATACACGCACACAAACAAAAAAGCTGAGTACGAGCGCCAACAACGCCAAAACGACCGACTGCGCCATGTGTTAATATTTAATTAGCTTTATATACTATATAGCTATTAAGACACTTTATTCAAAAACATACCTGGAAATCTTTCGCATTTACATCACTTAGATTGGAGCACTTGGGCACTTGTGCAATGCCATGACTGCCGGGCAATGCGTAGATCTTGACCACCTGCTCGCTCTGCGACAGTTTCCAGCAAATCGCGTGCTCGCGCCCACCGCTGCCTACCACCAACAGCTGCTTGCCGCCAACGAGCGCTGCTTTCGTAGACATTTTCCAACGCGTTGGTCTCGAAAAAACACCAACTTTTCACTAAATTACGTTGATTAAACACAAGCGAGCCGAAAAAATTTGACACTTCCGCTGCGCGTACGTTAATTGAAATTGATTTTCACAAAGCGTCAAACGCGAGACACAATGCGATAGGGGAATGTCGTGAAATTTGCGACTTTCTGCTTGACTTTTTTAAATAAATCAATAATGTCACTTCGCACTAGGTAAAACTATGCTACTATTGGTACGCACTAAGCATGCCGCGCAACAATTTGTATGTCCATTAATATTCGCTACTCGCACTCTCGTCTGGCTGTCTGTCTGTATGTTTATGTATAATATATTGTACTTGTATAGTTTGCGTGTGAGCTTGCGGCGCTGTCTGGCAAAATGTGTTCGGCGTAGTTAGTGATCGTGCGTTGTGTAGTCACGCTCGTCGAGAACCCACGTGTTTCTGCGTTATATACACAGTATACGAGTAGAGTATAGTGTGTGTATCACGTTTTTGTTGTTTTATTGCTTTTTATGATAGGCTCCAAAACGCAACGTTTTTCCGCTGGAAATGCAATGCAAGTTTCGAAAAGTTAAACAACTTTAAACCTGATACCTTCGGTATATTGTGGATCGTAGCGGTATAAGATGGAGTAGATAGCCACAAGTATTTAGTATTTGTAGAATAAAGTTGTATATATCTATGTACACATGTATGTATGTATAATGTATAGTCCAAGTTAGAGCGCCACCGAGAACCAGAACCGATGCCAACGGTTGGCAAATGAACACTGAAACTTCTACGCTTCGTCGTCGTCGTAAAGCCACCACATAAAAAGGGATGATGGAGAAGTGATAATGGATGACTGTAGCATGTTGATCGCTTAATAGGCGCGCGACTGACAAATCGACTGCCGTTAAGTTGACTCTTTTTTGCTTTCACACACAAATTTCTTATAATTTGTACACGTTTTTTTTTACCGACCACGTACATGTGTAAACTTTCCGCTTCATATGCCGGCTGCCGTACTCTGTTCATTGATTGCGTTACGGTCTTGCCATATATATGCCCCTCCAAGGCATCAGCGGTCGAGCAAACTACGCTCACAGTTCGGCGTTATTTAGACGCCCAGCACAATCAGTCTGTTGGTATTCAAATATATTCAACGAGAATAATTGATAAGAACGCTTGTCGGTAATCACTAAGCGCAAAATTATTTACAAGCTTTTTGACTACTCAAATGTCTAAAATTTTCTAAGCAAATATTTGTGTATTACAAGCATTTACTAATATTGTCTTTAGATAAACAAGCTATTATTTAAAAAAAAAAAAAAAAACAATTCAGTTCGATATTAGGGTATTAGCGCTGCTAACACCCGTGGGGCTTCACGTTGAGCATTTGCCAGCGATCGTCGATCGCAGACGCCACAGCCAATGATATAGTTGAGCTTATTTGTGAGTGTGTTGGAACTATGTAGTTCAAGTGCGCCTACACGTCTAACATTTTCCAGCATGCGCGCTAGCAAGCAATGTAACAGTGTGTATGTGACCATCAATCGTTTGCTGCTGCGTTCGAAAACTAAATTTTAAGAAAAAAGGTAAGTAACTGCAGCCTGACACACGATAGACGCGAGCGCCGTGCTGACAGGAAAGAACATCTAATAAAATAATCCAACAAGAGAGAGCAAAACTCAAAAAACTTGGTGGACCCTCGTTGAGACGCTATATTAGACGGGAAGCGTGGCCTATCAACTTCCGTTTGCAGCCAGTGTCAATATTACTTGCCGCAAAACCATACAGAATATTTGAATATACAATATTATAATTTTAGCGTAATCTATATTTTGCATCGATTTTTATTATAATTTGGCTTTTCGTATTTGTTGCTAAGAACAAATATTACTTATATGAGCATACAAAAATATTATATATTTATTTATACAAAATCAGCAATGAGGTCTAAGTAGTACTTGAATACGTGTTATTATTTTCTAATTAGTGAGCTTAGCAAGCTTTTGGAGCAAAGTGTTATTGGTTTTAAATGCATTTTAATATGAGTACCTCTGACGTGAATGGCTCAAGGCACTGAAAATACGGTTGCGATTTTGATAACTTTCGACGTTATGGGCTTTCAGTTTTTTCTAAAATATAAATTGTATGTAATTGTTTTTTGCTTATAAAATCAAATTTATTTCTGTACAGATCGGTTTCAAATAACGATATTAAGGGGGTATTCTGGTTTAAAAGCCCGAATCTCTTTTTAAGACCTGATAAAAAAAACAAGAAATATTTTTACCATACATTTTTAATATGTTTTTTATTGATATTTAAAGACTACAAATCAATTATAATATTAAAACAGGAAAAAAAATTCAAAAAATTCCAAGCCGGCAAAGTGAGGACTGATGAAAAAATGGCGTGTCCTGGTGTGCAAAACAGCAGGACTCCCAGTAACCCGCAATGGAAATTGTTGAGTGATCCTTAAAGAGGAAGCAAGTAGTTATATCACTACGAGAAAGAATCTTTTTTCACAAAATGGCGGCTGTTGAAAAATATGTTTCGTTATTTCCCTGTTTTTTTGCCGTTCGGAATTAAAAAAAAATTCATAAAATCCTCTCGTAGTGCGATAGTATAATGTATGAAAAAGCTTTGTATATAATTTCAAGTAAATCGATTGAGAACTTAAGATATCATGCACATCGTTTCTAAAAAAGTAGTTCAGATAAAAACGACTTTAAAGTTCGCACCGAGCTGCCAGTCGATTTGGTCGGCGCGTCACAAAATGAGCTGTAAGTCCGAAAATAATTGAAATTTCGATGCATCCTTTTAGGGACATATTCTTAAAGGGTTATACTACAAAAATATGCAAAAAAATTGATATTTTTAGATTTCTAAACCAGAATACCCCTTTAAAAACTAAAGCACTTGTTTTTCTATTTTCAGTACGTCACCTAACAAAATGTTCATCCATTTTGTGACGGAAGCGTTTTAAAATTGGGAGATAATGTGAAATATATAGTCTGTAATCTTTCTCTAATCTTCTTTTCATTTCAAAATAGTGCAAGTTTTAACCGGGATCAGTTCCATGCAAAATAAACTTAATTAAAAATAAAGAAATCCCTAACTTTGAAAAACTGGTGACTTCTAGTGAGTATTGAACAAAACTAGAGAAGCCAAAAGTACTATCAGCTACCGATTGAGACCACAAGTCAATTTCCGAGCAGAATTTCGTCGAATGAAACCCTATTGGGTTTAACTTTATTCTATTTATTTAACAAACTTTAAGGTATTATCATGTAATCAGCTTACTGAATATCGTACGAGTTTATAGAGAATATTAGAAGTTGAAAATGTTTAAGGAATGGAGTTGTTGGGCTTTATATCATTGCAATTTTAGACTTCATAGAGTAACCGCAGATTGACCAGATCTTCATAATATGTTTCACCGACACAACACTTGATTCGAGTTTCTGAATTTCTAATCGCTGTATTTAACTCCAAGCGTCAATATCTATAATTCTGTGATTAGGGGCGGGGAAGCACGAGTGAACTTTTAAAAAATCGCAATAAGGCGAGAATTTAAAAACTTATTTTTGCTATTTACAAGTAGCGTACTAATTAGTTTGGATTTGGATGGGTTCAACTTTGTCAAAACATATATATAACCTAAAACAATATAATACACTTTATGCCACAATATTTTTGAAAAGCTTATTTTTCAAAAACTTTCCTTTCGGGCCCCCAACAACACCGATAAGCGCTGATAACCTCTACACCTTGCAATATCATCTTACGCGCTATTGGGGGTAGCACTGAGCCATGCAACGCTGCTATTGACAAAAATATAAAAATACATTTGTATATTTGTAATTATCAGCATGCAGATATGTACAATACATACATATATACATATTTGTGGCGTTGCACTGGCGCTTGACGCAAACAACAGGTTGTTGACAATCGCATGCTCAGCCCAATCATGACACTTACAAAGACTCACATGCGTACATATGCATATACATATATGATCGGAAAGAGTTTTTTGTATATATTTATTCTAAGTAAATATTTACATATTTTTGATACAATATATTTAATTTCAATTTGTAGTTTATACATATGTATTTGTATGTACATGTTTATGTCTGTATATTTCTACATCATTTGTTGTCTTAAAACTGGTTGAAATTATTATGGGCTTGGAATTATTACAAAAGAAAGGCAGACAAATGAATATGAGCTATTTGTAGTAAACAATTTTCAAAATATGTGTTTTCACCAAACCAAAACATATGTTAATTATTTTGTGGCAATATTTTTAAGTGGCTTAAGTCGACTCATGTACCATACATATAAGGTGTGAAATTTTAAAGTAATTATTTTTTGATCAAGCTATTGCATAGCTTTTATCGCGTGCTTTGAGCGCGGCGACCGAATCAAGAAATTCCGTAACGGAAATAAACCTAACACGATCACAAAATATGCGCCAAATGCTTACATACTTGTAGGCGTATTTTCGCATATATCAAGCGCAACAAATCAATTGAAGAGGGTGATGCAAAAATTATAATAATTAAGATACACTTTTTTTAATGGCCAATAAAAAATATAGAATTTAAATAATAATTTTTTCAATATTCGGAGTTATAATATTAGTAAAATTATTATTGAAATTAGTTATTTCAATCGAATTATTTAAGTCAAACGAGATACTGTTCCAAAAGATGAGATAGCTATTTACCAAAATAATAATAATTTTACTAATATTATAACTCCGAATATTGAAAAAACTATTATTTAAATTCTATATTTTTTATTGGCCAAAAAATCAATTGTAATAAATTTCCACTTAGCTTGGCTGACGATGTCAAAATCAACTTCGCTAATAAAATATCAGAGCGGTTGACAACTTTTCTTTCGAAAAAAATTTAATTTGAAAATGAATAATGATCTGTAACAAAATATGAGACCAATATTGACACGGTATTTTCCAGATGTTTACAGGATATCAAGTCTCAAACTTATCTTTCTTACTTCAGTTACTATAAACCTATAGTTTCAATTGTAAAAATTTCTAAATAACCTATGTACATGTATTGTAAGATAATAAAAAAATTGTAAACAATATTAACTTCTCATTTGTTCAATAAAAGAAAAAAAAAGTGTAACTCAATTAATATCAAATAAAAAACGTGAATTAATATCAAAAAAAAAAAATACTGCATAAAAAATAAATAAATATTTATGATTGCATAAGTTGATAAGGCATGCTATGCAATAGCTTTACGGCGTTATTCCCCGAGTGCCACACGTACTTTTGCCTATTTCGATTGTCTATACTTTTAAAAGTAACATACTAAAATTGAATGAATTTATCAAATATTTTTTGAGTTACAGGCTTCTAAAGTGTAGGCGCTCAGCTCCATCAGTTTATCTTTAAACGCGTTTTTTTCGAAACAGCATTTTTCGCGTTTACTGTAGTGATTCCTCGGAGAGAAATATTTCAAACTGTATATACTGCATATTCTGTATTAGGTCTTTATATAATAATCTACCAATTTTGGCAGACCAAAAACGATCAAATTTTGTATAAAATTCAACTTTTTTTTTAAAGTCACAAATTTTGATTTTTTTTCGATCGTAGTGTATTGTACGGAGAATATCTTCTAGTTGAGAATTTTTTTTAGGTTTCATTCGTGAAGAAGAGCAGAATTAATACAGCGTTGTAGGACTTTTTCTTGGCGTCATCAGAGATCGTGTGTAACTCGAAATATGGTATTGTTTTAAGAATTCTGATAAAAATGTGTGGTATACTTTTGCATCTTTTTATTTTCTTAATTTTCGATACCAAATTTTATATTATTATACCCAGAACCAGGTATATTAAATTTGTCATGGAGTTTGTAACACCTAGAAGGATACGTCGGAGACCCTTTAAAATATGTACATACTTGTATATAAGTGATCAACGTGACGAACTGAGTCCATTAAGCCATGTCCGTTTGTCTGTATAGATGCGAACTAGTCCCTCAGTTTTTAAACTATCGATCTGAAATTTCGCACCTGTCCTTTTCTCACTAAGATGCTGCTCATTTGTTGGAAATACAAACTGAACAATCGGAATCAAGTATTTATATGAAAAACTTTTTCATTTGACGAGTTATCTTCACGAAATTTGGCATGGAATATTATTTAAGGCAATAAACCTATCTCCGAAAAAATTGTATAGATCGGATAACTAAAGCATATAGCTGCCATATTAACTGAACGACCGGAATATAGTGTTTGAATGGAAAACTTTTTTTTTGACGAGGTATCTTCACGAAATTAGGCATGAGTTGTTGTCTAAGGCAACAATGTAATCTTTGAAAAAATTTTCAGTTCAGAGAACTATATCGTATAGCTGCCATACAAATTGAACTATCGGAATCAAGTTCTTGTAAGTTCTTGTAAGGAACCTGTGTATGTGAAAGGTATTATAGGTTCGTTGCAACCGAAGTTAACGTGTTTTCTTGTTATTTTACCATAATTATCAGATGTCATCACATTTGAAATCTTGTTGCCACTCCATATCCATGTACAAACATATATTTATGTATATTTATCTTCATTTATTTATACGCACTCGCGTGAGCAGTGTACAGAACTTTTTGTTTACAAATATTGCCAATTTTTATTATCCAAACATATGTAAATATATAAACATAAGTCCTATATGTATAATACATATATACTTATACATAGACATGTAGGTACATATTTGTATATGTATATGTGCGTATTTACCATATATTGATTGACTAATATTTATGAGCGTAAAAATTGGCAAATGTAATGTAAA